AGGACGAAACGGTCGTCTAGCGCATTCCTGGATATGCGCTGGTTGTCTACCTGAGTCTAGCTGCAACGAATCTTCACGAACATCTTGCCCTTGAGTCTGAGACTGACGTAGCTAAGACGCCATAAGTATCTCAGCATGAGGAAATGCAAAGCGGGCCCATGGACGTTCTCAAATGCCCGTTGGATAACATCTTCAATAGCAGCCTTGAAGAGAAAAGGTGAAACAGGTGAACATTAGCGCACGTCGCTGGTGACAGCAAACGAAGTAGAAAGCGTGCTACAAGCTTTCATTTTGCCTAACATGTGACTGTAGAGATCTATCAGGATGATTCCGAACTCGTCGGGCACACCCTTCCTTAGTAGATAAGTTCACGACGCTTCAAATGCCGTTCGGTTGTCCAAGAACACTACGAGTGTTGTCTGTCGGTAAATATGACGGAGTTCAAGAAGTTCGTGGAGCAAGAAGAGGCGCTCAATGCAATTTCGGCCTGGACTGAAACTTGCTTGTTTCTTTTGGGAAACACCTCCTCTAGTCGCTGAAAGCCTGCGGGGTAAAACAGGCATGATATTGGAGGCAACAGAAATCACCGAAATTCCGCGGTAATTGGCACACTCCTTGCGGGAGCCTTTCTTGTTAATTGGAACAATGACCGATTCTCCCCATGAAATTTGGACTTTCTCTTCAACCCAAATGGTAGGATTGCGCTGACAAGTGCATTCCCATCATCTTTGCATAGAGTCAAGTGTAGTTTATTAGGTCCTTTAGCTTTATGGCGTTTCAAAGTTTAGATTGCGCTTCGGATCTCTGTTTCGGTAGGACGATCTGTGGCGATAGGCCAAGCACCATCTGAAGGAAGCGGTGGTGTCACCGTTACTTAAATTAGCAAGCAAAGTGCTCTGTCCAGCGACCCAAGTGTCTGTGCAGGTGAATGATTTTCGTGCCACCTGACTTACAAATTTTTGACTGGTAGCGTCCGAATTGCAACTAGTGGTCTTTGTAAGGTAAAATAATTCGCGGAAGTTTCTAGCCGATGTAGTGGCTTCCATCTCAATAGATTGTTTTAACCACCAGGATTCAAGGTCAAAGTAGTGGGTTGTCGTTAGAATTTGAGAGATAAACCGACAAAGTTCATAGTACTCCACGCCGGTGGGCACAGCCAGTCGACGATCCAACAGTTCCCTGGATTTAACTGCCATCCAGCTTGCGGTTGTGCTGCCGTCGATTCTAAAGCTGGACAATTCGGCGGACAGCATTGCTTGTCGCAAATAGGGAAAGTTTTGATCAACATCCAGAGTATGGGGGAGAGCGGGATTTTCACGAAGCCTCTGTTGATACTGTGTTTTCACCGCTGGGTCCTCCAGCTTGTGTGTTCAGTCGAGTTTACTTGGCCCTTGGTGAGCCGCCGAAACGCATACAAACTATTGCACACATCAATGCATGATCGGTGCCAACTCAAGTTGACAAAAATGATCGGCGATCGTGTGTGCTGCCACGCCACCTGCGAGTTATGGCTATGTGATTAATTTGTGACCAACTGGTTCGACGACGGAGGACGTCAGGTGGCATTCACGGTGAGGAAAGCTCGTGCTGGAGTGCAGAAGTTGGTGGCCAGCATATAGACTTAGTGGTTTCTCTCTGTTGTCAGGGCGAATATCACCATACCCATGCGGTCCACCAAGGTGGCGTTCGCATGGTAACAGCCGACCAATCTGTGCATTTAAGTCTTCTGCCACAACAACTATGTCTGTGTTAGACGCCTTTAGGAGCAGCTCATGAAGATGTTGATAGAACTGTTCCTTGATTACATCCGAGCTGCAGTCATTGGGCGTGTAGACAGAGATTACGAAAAGAGCACGCTTGTCTGCGCGATGCCTGCTAACCATACAATACCACGAAGCCTCAAATCACATGGGTGACTGTTGACTGGAATCCAATCAAAGTGGCAGACTCAGTTCTAGCCCTGAGAGCGATTCCAACATCAGGTTGCCCAAATGCCGCAGACTCAGAATCACCAGAAAGGCGAAGATAAAAGCAGGTGCATGGTTGGACTGGTGACGACGGCTGGTAGACTGTGTTGGCATCCTGCAGTCGAGTTTCACTCAGGCACCCGACATCAATTTCAAGGGTCTCCAGCGTGCGTGCAGTTCCATCTTCTTGTCTGACGTGTACTGATGTGCGCACGTCGAGGGTTGCTAGTTTGAACTGCATTCCAGTTCGCAGTATCAAAGATGGTAGGCTTCGGGGCTGGCAGCTCCCTATCGAGGACTGTAGGGTTGAGTTGACGGGTGGCGAGTGAACAACCTCATCGGTGGAGGTAGGGTCGTTCGCAGTTAGAAAAAATAGCTAACAGGGGGATGGGTGATACAAGGAAAGAGTATGTAAATTGGTGGAGTATGTTTGTAAAGTTGGCACAGTCGCAGGACAGTGGATCATGAGAGGGATGGAGAGCGCAATTTCGTGCTTCCATGGTTCAACAGTAGGCGAGACATTACCCGGTTGTCTAGGCCGAAGTACGTGGGTCGTCTTAGGAGACCACCGCACCGAACCCTTGGTCAAAGAGCCTAACTTACAAGGCAGCAGGGCGAACTAAGGGTTTCGCACCCGTTGGTAGCCGGTGACTTAATATTCAGTTTATTCACCTTTCGGATGGCGAACAGCCATACCAGGAGCCAAACACACCCGAAGCCGTAGACAGAATCCCGTGCTCGAATTGCTTGCCGGTATGTAATGTCTCCAACGAAGACAAGGGATAGTGAATTTATTTAGTTGCGAGTCACATCCGCCACGTCGCAGTGTTGTTAAGCGGACACCTCTGGCTCTTTTTAGGGAGAACACTTGTCAGGCGTAAACCCACCACTTTCTGGAATACCAACACTGAACAATTCGCCGGAACGGGAAATACCCGGACCGCCCGGTTGGCACCACGAGGACGTTGTTCGGCAGATCACCTCTTTCCTTGGATGGATTAGGAATTACTTATAGAACCGGTAGCTGCAGGTTATGGTTCAGAGTGCGCTGTTCAGTCCGATTCATGTTGAATGTGGAGTTCCACAAGGATCAGTTACGTGGCCACGTCTATGTTTTGTGTTAACTTATGAGATTACGTGCCTGATTTCCTCGGATTAGGTGTTTTTCGCTGCTGTTGTTAAGATGTGACGGCTAATCGCTAACCAAGCAGATCGCGACGCACGTCAACGAGACCTGGACATTACATATGAATGATTATTCCACCATCTGGTACACTTTAATTTATTAAAGTGTAAATTGATCCACATTCGTCCGTAATCAAACATCAGAACAAGCTTGGAGGCCAAAAGCTGAAAGCAGTTATCCTGGATGGCGACCTTGGAGCATGAAACCAAGATCATCTGGGCTGTTCAGAACAGTTTGGGAAGGCGTCAATGACTGGGAACCAGCGCGTCAATACGCTGCGGTTGGCATTCGGGCGGTTTGATATAACTGGCTGTTCGCAGTTGCTTACTACATACGCATGGCCTAATGTGGAATACGCAATCCCGGCCTGGTAGACCTGGCAAAGCAAGATCTCTCAGCGGTCGGTACTCCGCGGCGATGAGCCACTAAGCACGTCAAAGACTGTTTCACCTTCCATACCAAATTAGACTAAGAACCCTAAAGATTGTACATCGATCAGTTTCGGCGCCTACCTGACGACCTGATAATGACCTACCAACTTTAGATCAACCCAATCCACGTATGCTATCATCTAATGTAACTCAATCACAACAAATTTTCAGGAACCACCAGCTCAAATTGGCGACCCAATACAGTCAGCTAGAATGTCGGCGAAACGTTTACTCTCTTCGTATGTGCCATCCATGGAAAGCTCTCCCAAGTTACGTTATTTCTGCCTCTACTTTAGCTGTGCCTAAAAGACGGCTTGTACCATTTTTGTTAAAATGTTCCTTACTTCCTGCGGCACAGTAGCTGAAGTCTGTTGCTCACCGTCCACTACCATGCCACAATGATTATGACCCGATAACTTCCCCTTTTGCGCTAATCTCCATATTTTTGTTGCTTCAGTGTCTAGTTTCTAGACCAGTGAGATCACTACTACTACTACTACTACTACTACTACTACTACTACTACTACTACTACTACTACTACTACTACTACTACTCCTACTACTACTACTCCTACTACTCCTACTACTCCTACTACTACTACTACTACTACTACTACTACTACTACTACTACTACTACTACTACTCCTGCTACTACTACTACTACTACTACTACGACTACTACTCCTACTACTACTACTACTACTACTACTACGACTACTACTACTACTACTACTACTACTACTACTACTACTACTACTACTACTACTACTACTACTACTACTACTACTACTACTACTACTACTACTACTACTACTACTACTACTACTACTACTACTACTACTACTACTACTACTACTACTACTCTACTACTACTACTACTACTACTACTACTACTACTACTCCTACTACTACTCCTACTACTACTACTACTACTACTACTACTACTACTACTACTACTACTACTACTACTACTACTACTACTACTACTACTACTACGACTACTACTCCTACTACTACTACTACTACTACTACTACTATCTGCATTACGAGATATATATCCTGTGTATATCAACAGACGACATAATGTGGCGAACGTTGCACAGCCGGCACTAACCTACACAATCGAGGTTGCCCTGTTCTGCAACTCTCTGCGTAAACACTATGGGTAACCCACCAAAGTGCTTTTCACTTTGGCACTGTAATTTCTTCTCACTATTTTGTGGTTTTTATTATGGCCATCCTAGAGCACTTGTTAAGCATTTGCTTTCTTAACCGTACTGCACCATTATTTTATTGCCTGTTCACTCAGTCATCAATGAGCTGGATGATAACTGTAGTCACATACATTGGTAAGCGCTATCTCACAAAGTAATAAGTATATGAGTACTGATGCTAATACATCCTCCTATACACAGGAAGTTTGAAAACATCTATATCGGCTGGGGATCAAAAACAACAGGAACGGCTTTTCAACCTTATCTACCTCCAGATGTGATGTCAGAATATCAGGATACCCCAGAGGTAATAGAAATAATAGATCCAACGCCAGAAGATGAAGCTGCACTTCGGAAGGTCCAGAATGCCGAAGAAGAAAGAGGTGGCACAGATGAAGAAGGTGTTCAATCTGAAGGCGAATCTGACGCGACGCGTGAGGAGGCTTGAACCCTACCGAACCATACATCTTTTTTTACCGAACTGACCTTTACATAATCCTACTCATCCGCTCGCTCATTATAATGGAATAAAATGAATATTTCTAGACGCCTATTATTTGTGCATATTTTTAGTATTTTATTGAAATGCAGCAAACTAAGGTAATAACCGAAATCACATTATACCAGTATTTTGTAACCATAGTTGCCTCTAGTTATGTTGACCATCTAAACTAGCAATACCATTTGGAGGTGACGAGGTGGGTTTATTGCTAGATCAAGCCTCTGAAACCAAATATTCCGTCACTTGTGACATCGGTTTTGTGGATACGGCTGCTCCGCTTCATCTTAAACTGTACACGGCAGACAACCTTGCAACAATCATAAGATGAACGGATGATGCGAGTAGACGACAGCTGCAGATGCGCCACACACCAACTGTAAGTCACATCCTGTGAAGATTCGAGCTAAGCACTTGTAGACAAAGTAGTAGCAATTTGGAAATGGAAAACGAAAGAGACATTCCGTTTAATTCTTCAGCGAATTACTCTGTGGTTCCAATCCTTTTTCTGCCCATAGCGAGTCATGCGTTATTCTAGGTTTGGTATATCCAGACAAGGTACTCTAGCAAGCGCAGTTACGTATAACCATCACTAGTGCATGCAACCTTATTGGTTTATTTGGCCAACTAACCTGGCCGCCACAGCCCAATATTAGTCAAATAGAATCTCATCGATATAGACACGCTTGGTGCCACCTGACAACAGTAATGCTCCGAGTCTAGCGATGAGTAGAGATTCATGCTAGCCTCAGATCCACAGAGCGATTGGACATGTAGGTTCACGAAGTTATTAATAACACCCACAAAATATGCACTAATCTCGAAGTTATACTTTCAGACATTAGTGAATTAAGCAGCTGCCTTTATTTCTTTGTCGTCAAATATCAAAGCGGCAGAGGGTGGTTGATGGCTTTGAATATTTCTTATACAATTTGAAACTGAGAAGCAACTGCCAAGAGATGCAGCTCTTCTTGAGTGTATGTTAAGGGTTGACTGTGCCTCGTTGCAATTAGCAATTTGGGAGCTAATATTTTCCGCAGATTCCCAAGTTGTGAGGACAAATCCTTAGCGCCTCGGACGTTCGTTGTATATCAGATTCGCAGCTAAACGGCCAACCGAAGCGAGCAGGAGAACACACGAAATAAGCTAGAAAAGGTTTATTGATAGATCATTAAAGCTAAAAACGAGGCACCAGAGGAGAGCTAGCTAGGGAAGATCTGAACGGGTGCTGAGTGCAAAACTGGCCGGTTACGTCCGAGTGAGCAGGGGATGCAGGTGTTGAGTAGGACTCCGACACACGTCAGCAACATTCAAACAAGCAAACGACCCAATTCCCTAATTCATAAGGTTTACAATTTTATCAGTCTCCCTAAAGCTTCCTTGGGGCTCATGACCCTAAGATCAAGCTCGTTGATCTGTTATTCTTGCGTCTACGTAATTTTCCTTTGTGACCAGTTTCAAACCTTCGATTTTTCTGTCACGTGATTCATATTTATGTTGTTAGTTTGCGAGTGAGCAGATAACACGAAATGGTTCCATCTCGCAATACCAGTCTTCTCATTGTCTTATTTAGAATGATAAAGGGAACTCAGTGCTTTAAATTTTATAATATTTTGAATAATTTAGAGTCAAGCGGGCGCAACTCCATGTCACCGCACAGCGCCCTTCTAAAAGGGAACTCATGAGCGGCCTTTTGATTTACGTGAGGACTGTTCGTCACCAGTCAACCTTTTGCGGACTAGGTGGTGTGGACTGATGAACCTGTTGGGTGAGCACTAGCACACTCGGACTTTAGCGGGCTCCAATTGATGTCCTCCCTAACGCTGTCAAGACACAAAATGGGGGAAAGTTCGTAAATGTCAAATGTTCACCATCAGCTTATCATAATTCCCGTTCGTATATGGAACACAAAATGAAGCACGCGCAGTGACAGTGGTGCCGAGGGCAACAAGAAAAAGACACCGGATGAGATAGAGTGCCGAACAAAACACAAATCTATGCGTTTTCAAAACATATTTTCATTTTTTGGATTTTCCAAACGTTTTGTGGACTTTCTGTGTTTCCAAAACGGTTTACCGTTTTATTCGCACTGGAAAAGGAATCCGTGGAAAGAAAAGTGGAAGGGAACCTGAGCTCTTAATCGCGCCTACTAATTAACTTGCCTGTCGGATCTATTCGAATTCTGTGGTTAAGAAGACGGCGTTGGTTTGCGCCTTCTGTAGGATAGGAATTTGGATGAAGTACCTATGATATGCCGTTTGTTTTGATGGAAAGCAGCAGGGCTGCGATGGATTATTCAACCTGAGACTTCTCTTTGGAGTCAGTTGTGTTGGAAGTAGATGAGTCTTCCATCATTGCTGAGTTGTTCTTTGGAAGACGGACAGGAGTCTTCATCGAGCTCAGGTTCCACGTGGTCATCAATAGTGACGCCTTCTCGTTTGCCGTGAAGGTCGATGATAAGGACGTGGACCTTACGCTGTCGAACCTCGCAAGGTCGCTCAAGTGGTTTGCAGCGACCATCGACACAGAGGAAAACGAACGAACAGTGCTGCAGGTCATGAGAAACAAAAGACTTACCTCGTTGTTCTTTGACACCGGGAAGCCAGTAGTGACGCACGTTCCTGGCTAGCTGCCGAACATAGTTCGCGTCGCAACTGGCAATGTTGGAACTATCAGAAAAGAAATCGCCGGGTAGACGTAATGGTTGTCCGTATCCTAGCTCGGCGCTGGATGTATGTAGATTGGTCTTTAAGGTTGATTGGGTGCTAAAGCTTATCATAGGTAGCATTTCAGTGCAGCTCAGCCCATTGGCGGCGCTGAGTAGGCTTTCGGCTGTCGGTGGAAACGTTCCAACATGCCGTCCGCTTGTAGAGGACAGGCGGTAAAGCGAAGGTGTCAGCATGCAATTACCTTAAGACTATCGGCAAAAGTCGAAGGTTCTAATTGCAGACAGTGGTCGGTCGTCAATGCGGATGGATATCCATGTGAAGTGCGCGTTACGACTTCCGTAGCTACTTCAGGGATTGGAATGGCCTCGGACCGACAAGAGCGACTTTCAATCATGTTCAAAATGTAGTCCATTACTTTAGACAGGGTCAAGGGTTTAACTATCGCAACGGACATGGGCGAATCGAGCTGAAACGGGCGGAAAGTGACCAAATGGAGCGCACATATGCCAATATACCTTGGCTTGCTGACATTTGTGAGAGTTGCGTGCCCAGGGCGTAAGATCGTGTTGCATCCCGGGCCAAACGTATTACTCAGATGTGAGCTTAACAGTACATCTAGTACCAGGGTGGACTATGTTGCGAAGCTTGTCAAAAATGAGAAGACGAAAGGTTTCTGGAAAAGCGGGTCGTCGTCTGGTAGATGTGTCACATAAGGTAGTACCGTCAGATACCGGGAAAGAGTGTGGGGATCTCTTCAAAGAACAGTTGTGGCATTACGAGAAAGCCTACTCAATTGATTGAGCAGCGGCCATAGCAGACAGATCAACCGCGTTCCTGGCATGGCTGATTGCAAGTACTCTTTACAGAGCAGCAGCGATGACGTTCTGTTTACCAGCAATGTATCGTGATATCAGTCTACGAACAGCAGCCAAAGTAGTCGGTACTGGAAAAGCTGATCGTGCAGACTCTATCGTCTAGGGGCTTTGTCTCATGCTGTTCGGTGTGGCCAAAATTTCAACAGATGGCTGCTGAACTACGCATTTGTCGTCGTTGACAGTGAGGCTATTACTGACCCGCATATCGAAAAAGATTGTGAGGTGTTCTGCATGCTTTTTCAGCAGCGCTTGCCACTGGTATTTCGTCGAAATACGTATGGGCAAAATCTAAGCCTCCAATGAAGTAATTTATGATTCCCTGAAAGGTCTGGACTGTGTTGCGAAGACCAAACAGCTTGCGTAAAAATTCAAACAGCCCAAATGGTGTGATGACGGCGGTCTTCGGAGAGTCTTCCTAAGCAACTGAGATCTAGTCGTAAGCGCGAACTAAATCGATTTTCGAGAACACGCGAGTGTCACCTTAGTTAGTCGGGATGTCCTGAATTTTAGGAATAGGACAGCTATTAGGAACTGTTACGTTATTAAGCGCGTGGTATTCGCCACATGGAAGCCAGTCTGCTTACGATTTGACACCGTGTGAAGCGGCGATGCCCATGGGCTTTTAGACGGTCAAATAAGACCTAGCTTAAATATATACTCGAATTCTGCTTTGACAATTTTCAACTTGTCGGTGTACATTCACCTGGCTTTAGGAAACACAAGCGGACCATAGGTAACGTTACGATGCTTTGTGGCATCAGTGGTGGATAGCAAAGTTGCAGTTGTGCGGAAGACTTGCAGGACACTGTTGAGAAGTATCTGACTAATAGCTAAGATCGACTTGTTGGCGACTGATTGACTCTGTGTCGGTGAAAGTGCCTCTAACAACCCGATGCGTATGGCGATCGATCGGACGGCTTTGCTTAGTGTCAACTAACAAGTCGAATGGTTGCTGAAAGACAAGACTAAGAGCTGGCGTTTGGACACATGCGACAAGAAAGATCCATGTAAAGCAACACCAGGCTCAAATTAAGCGTGCGTGTGTGTTGACCATACGTGTGAATGATGATACAGTTACCTGCGTACAATGAGCTAATCATCTTCTCATTCGGGTCTTTCTTATCGCGAGGAAGCAAAATAAGTTCATTACTACTGTCCAACAAGTAGGGAACTGCTGGTTCTCGAGGGGTGACGAAGAAAAGCTGACCGTGCCTACCAGAAACGTCTGTTGCCGTAGGTGCGGGCAAGCCCGTTTCCCTGTTTCTTGGGTAAGAAAGCGTAGTGTGGGTGACACGATCTGGTCTCATGACCGAAATGCTCGTGCTACCAGCAATAGGATGATCTTGGCGGACATTTTGACGATGCTTTCGAATGCGCTGTATTGTTGGAACCATTACGGCAGTTG